CCGTTCGAATATTTTTTTAGAAACTACTATCAATTGTATCTGTAGTCCGGAGATTAATAATTTAAGTGTGGGAATGCCATGCTTCGGCATGAATTGGGCTCGAATGGGCACAGAAAACCAGCGTGAAACAATCACAGCGTTGTGTTTCGCCGTGTGAGTGAAGTTACCGGAGGCCCAATCCTTTCCCTACCTTAATCCTTCCCCAATCCCTAAATCTCCGAATCCGTAATCTCCAAAAGGTCGGCAACGTACTCGTAGCTCCTCCGTTATTGCGGGTGTCCATGGGCGGCGCTGATTGCTTATCATCAGGTAAAGTTTTCAGTCAGCGAGACACAGGCTTTACTTTCTCTCTAGCCTTACTCAGGGCGGGAGAAGATATTTGACCATTTTACCCTCGAAAAAAAACCCAAAAAGAAAGACTTCACAAGGCCCCTTTTTTATAGCTCCGAACTATCTTATGTGAAATGGACTAGCATGAAACCTTTTTATTTATATCTACAAGCAATTTACAGGAGAAAATCCACGAAAATCTATGTGAGGTATTTGAAATAGTCCGTCGCCCGCATTGTTCCAACAATATTCGGCCAGGAGTCAATTGGACGTAAAGGTTCTCTTTGAAGATAAACGGAGCACGAGAAAAATTACCTCTTTTGGGATCAGTCAAGGACAAATATTTTGAAGGTCGAATTGCATTTGTCCGATGGTCGATTGGATGTGCGGTTAAATTTCTATAAAAATGACATATAGAATGAGATAAGTCGGCCAACGAGATAGCGGATTTTCTTATGATAAGCAAAAATAAATATTAAATTCTTCTACAATTAAACTCCATCCATAGGGTGTCTGGAAAAAATTGCTTTTAAGCGATAAGACCGCCAATAGTACTATCTTCTGTGTTTATTTTTTCCTGTGCTTTTTATTATTATGGTGTACAATAAAGAATATTCATTCATTCATTCCGCACCGCCATGGGCATCTGCAACACCAAAAGAGTTACGAGTGCGTTTCTGGAATTTTGGGGATTAGGTTTCGAATATTTAAGGATTGGCGGTAAGGAAAGGATTAGGGCTTACTGAAATCGTAAACCACAATCCATTTTTTATTTTCTATTGTTAATATGTGTTTTGTGTAGATTGGAAGAAAGTTATAAATCAATTTAGAACCAAAAAGGCCAAAGGCTTAGCTCATCCGCATCGTTGTCTTATCACACTTGGAAGAATAAAGAGACCGAAAAAGCCTTAAAATTATCGGTGATTTAACCATTAAATGCTTTTTTTGGAAGCAGTTAAATAGATACAAAGGGTGTAGTATCAGCTCGCCCCCTGGATCTTGCCCCTTCCGATTAAAAAGTTCCACTCGCCCCGTTTTTATTAATTTGGAGTTGTGGTTCGCCCCTTACGAAAACCCTTACGGGGCGAGTGAAAAATTTAACAATTAAATAATTATTTTGTATATATGTTACTAATTTTTTTTTAAAGATTTACCAAATCTTATAGAAGTAAAATTCGAATTCTATTCAAAAGGACAGACAGACATACATAATATTCTATACACGTGTAAAGTAGCGCACCAGTCTAGGTCTGTTACCTTGGAAAATATATAAAAATATTTTCTCTCTCGGTCGTGTATTCCCCAGAGGAGTTGTCTCGCCATACAACTTTTAGATGAAGAAGAATTTTAGGCGCGGCTAGGAATGAACGTGGCTGTGGACATTGGAGAAAATGTGAATTTTTCATGTAACTGATGATATAGGACTTTGAACCTTATTGTTATTGATAAAGACTTTTTATTAATCGTGGCTTCATTGTTGTCACTGGCATTGAATTAAATGTGCATAAAATTAATATTTTGTTATTTTGAAAATGGAAGAGGTCGGATCATCAGTTCGTATGTTATTTATCATTATTACATCAGCCTGATTCCATCCACTGCTGGACATAGGCATTGTATCCGAAACGAGGCCATCCGACAGAGAACTAAAGTTGTCGCCATAGGCCAAAAGATTAGCAAGCTGAAGTGGCAGTGGGCAGGTCACATCTGTCGAAGAACCGATGACCGTTGGGGTAAACGTGTTCTAGAGTGGTGACAATGTCTTAGCAAACATAGTGCATATGCCGCTAGAATGTATGAAACTCATACAAATAATGAGATAACATTTTGGGTCGCCAGTTCTGGTTTTGTTTTCCATCTAGTGACAGGCTTGATAATTTTTGCTGTAGGTATCTTATTAAAAAAAAAACAAAGTAATTCCTGCAATTCTATACCGGTAAAATTTCATATTTTCTTGGTTCTTGCTTCTTAATAGCACGCATACTACTTATATACGTATGTATATACACTAATTAGCAGATAAAAAATACTTAACATTTTCTAAGTTTCTAATATTCAATAACAGATAGACTTCATCAAGTTAAACGACGGTTCTAAATTGCGAATCGTCCATCTTGACCTTTAGGTCAGTGACCCGCCGCCATTTTGATGACAGCGCCATTAAATGGCCGCTTACGATAAGTGCACTCACTGTGTACATGTGAATTTATTCGTTTATCTTAGTAATATAAAAACGAAATTTTATTTAAGTAATTGAAAGTTTTTCTTTGGATTTGCGTTTTTCTATTAATATAAGTTAAGCAGTTAGCTGACAGTTATGGATGGTAATGGTTTTAATATTTGAATTGAAGAGTTAATTTGATTACATTTGAATAAAAATGAAATGTTACTTTTGTTTGTTGAATGATAAGTGATATTTATTTCTGCAATCAGTCTTACAAAATAACACTTTTTCAGGACAAAATCGATGTCGAATATTTTGGAAATTATTACTTAGCGCACTTGGATTATTGTGTTTTCTAAATAGCTATTTGTATGTTATTAAACCATTTCGTAATCTTCTTGTTAAATAAAACTTAGTGAGAAAGCAAAAAATAAAATTCAAATATTTTTAATTAAAATTTTGTAAAAAAAATTACGAAACACTTTTTTAAATACAAACTTGCCTCAATATATCACGGCGGCCATTTCTTGGACGTCATATTTCAAGTCTAATGACGTCATAAGCGATGAGATACCACCTTTTTACGACTACCCACTTTAATTTATGTAGCGAGTTTGTTATGAAAATTCATTTGATCTGCACTGGTTTATGTAAAACTGTGATAGTTTGTGTACATTATTTTATATTTGTAAATCGACGTTTTTCATAATATTTCTGGTAAGTGGACGTAAATTACCAAATAACAGTGTTAATACGTATGTACTTAGGTATGTTAAACACGTGGAAAAAATAAGAGTGTTGCATTATTTGTAGGTACGTCATGTGTTATTTCTTTGGCAGATTTATTTACGCTGCTTATTGGTTTGTGATTTATTTTATTTTTATTTCATAGTTTGAATCATGTTATTAAAATGTTTACTTTGGTATTCATTATACATAGTCTGGCCATAAATACTGTTACAATTAAAAATAAACAAAATATTACATTTGCATTTGGAATCTGTCATTTTTATATAATTTTTCATTGAGTTTTCTTATTTTGGCGCCAATAAATTGTTCAATATTTTGCGATATTAAAATGGAGTGGGGTGATAAAGAGAACTGAATCGCTGTGATTGCATTACACAAAGTGGGTATGGGGCAAATGCAATTTTTAAAACTCTCCACACGCTTAGCTTTTGTCAAATGTTTGTGTACCGGGCTATTAATAGGTACAATGAGACCTCCTCTGTTTGTGACAGAAAAAGATCCACGTAGTGTTAGTACGAAAAAGGGGGTCAAAGCAGTAAGGGAAATAATTCGAAGAAATCCTGTCCGAAAGCAAAAGATTTTATCTCGGGAGATGAAGATAGCACCTAGAACCATGTCGCGTATTTTAAAAGACGACTTAGGACTTGCAGCCTATAAGAGACGCACTGGACATTTTTTAAATGAAAATTTAAAAAAATAATAGGATGATAAAATCTAAACAACTACTGAAGCGGTACGCAAAGGGAGGTCACAGAAAAATTTTGTTTACGGATGAGAAAATTTTTACAATTGAGCAACATTTTAACAAACAAAATGACCGTATTTATGCTCAAAGCTCTAAGAAAGCTTCTCAATTAGTCAACAGAGTGCAACGTGGGCACTATCCGACTTCAGTGATGGTTTGGTGGGGTGTTAGCTATGAAGGAGTGACTGAGCCATACTTTTGCGAAAAAGGTATCAAAACATCGGCACAAGTGTATCAAAATACCATTCTTGAGAAGGTAGTTAAGCCCCTTAACAACACCATGTTCAATAACCAACAATGGTCCTTCCAGCAAGACTCGGTGCCGGGTCATAAAGCTCGGTCCACGCAGTCTTGGTTGGAAACGAACGTTTCCGACTTCATCAGAGCTGAAGACTGGCCGTCGTCTAGTCCCGATCTTAATCCGCTGGATTATGATTAATGGTCAGTTTTAGAGAGTAGGGCTTGTTCTAAACGTCATGATAATTTGGACTCCCTAAAACAATCCATACGATTGGCAGTGAAGAATTTTCCCATGGAAAGAGTGCGTGCTTCTATTGATAACTGACCTCAACGTTTAAAGGACTGTATGGCAGCCAATGGAGACCACTTCGAATAAGCTTTTTATGTTTTAAATTGTTTTATATTTATGTATTAAACTTACATACTGTAAAAGTAATAAATGTTATTTGCAATAGAAAAATGTTTTTTTTATTTGTAACAGTATTTATGGCTAGACTAGGTAATGTTTTGTCATTTTATTTGGTCATGTTTTAAATAGGTCTGGAATTAAAAATAGCATTTCAATGTTGATACTGATAATTTTTCCGTAAAAAACATCGCCAGGTTATAATTGTGAGAGCTTGTGAATCATCACGATTTACGTTTAAAAATAACGGAACCCAATTCAAATTCCATAGATTGGCCAATTAGGTCTTATTTCAAAAAAAAGGCCAATCAAAATATTTACTACTGCTTAATACGAATAACAATAAAAATGTATTAAAATCCTACCTGTAAGCCAAGTCCCATTGAAAGGCTTATAATGTTCTCCCAGCACATCGTGTAGCGTAGGCCTTCGCCCCCGGACTCTGCCACCGTCTCCTGCGGGTGTCAGCAAGGCTATGCTGAAGACGATCAGCCCCAGAACTGCGGCTATCACCAGCAAAGCTATGAGGATGCCGCGCCAGTTGCGCTGTGTAGGCGTTGCAGCTGCCAACTCCTGGAACCAAGATGAAGAGACTACAGTGAGAATTATGTTATTGCAGATGGCTTTGTGTCAAAAGTCATCAGTTTGGAGAAGTAGGATTGTATCAGTTGATATTTCTATTGGATTTTTGTTGATAGAGTCTTCTCGAAGCACATTTATATGAAAATATTTTTTTCTGTAGCCATGAGTCCTGGCCAGGTTAATGATAAGAAGGGGAAGGAGATACCTTTGAGATTAATAAATTACATAAGTACACAGATCAGCAAAGGTACAATAGTTATAATAGTCTTGTTTGAAGAAAAATCCTTAAACTTGATTACAGCGCCATCTATTCAAAGTCAAAAGTCAAAATTATTTATTTCAATTAGACCCATACAGGCACTTTTGAACGTCAACACAACTTTAAAGATACAAAGTGTCAGTCTGTCGGTCAGTCCTTTTAGTGAAGCTATTCGCTCGTTCCAAAGTGTAGATTCCGATGGAGAAGAACGAGCAAGAAACTCCATGGTTACTCTTTTAAAATCAGTGTCACATAAACATTCTTTGATACATTATTTAGTTAGTTTGAATATGTGAGAACAGTGTAACGCGTGTATACAGAGAAACATAAAAAGAAAATAACCTTAAGGACAATAGACAGTCCGGAGCTGACCAGTCCCAATTGACGGCGCCCGTTCACGAGCATGACACGTACACCAGCATCGCCCAACTCAACCATAATATAGGGAATCGAGCGATCCAGTGACCGTGCCACCGCCAATGTGACCTTTGAGTGAGCATGACAACTCCAAGCTGACATATGGACCGACATTCTGCTAGTCTAACTAATTTTAATAGGTTACAGGGCACTCACATTTACAAATTTATCAAGTTTAACAATAAAAATAGCATGGTTACAAATTTACAAAATCTAAGAACTTCCGTTCAAGCAAAGATCCACTGGAACATTATTTATATTCGTGTAGGTATATTATCCTGTGGAGCAGGACCAGCCCGTCTCCAAGCATCCTTATCCTCAATATAATCACTCAGTTTGTAATATGCTTTTTTACACAAAGTTTTCTTTATACATAATTTAAAATTTCTTTCATTTAATTGTTGTATTTCGCCTGGGATTTTGTTATAACACTTAACGCTGAATCCCATGAACGACTTGTGTACCTTTGCCAATCTAAATAATGGCTGACAGAATCTATCTCTATGTCTAGTTTGGTAATTATGTCTGTCTGATACCTTATCAAATAATATTAAGTGTTTCCTAACATACATTATATTTTCATAAATAAACTGACCGGGCACAGTCATAATATTGATCTCTTTAAATTTATCTCTAAGAGATTCGCGAAGCCTTAGGTTGTAAATTGCTCTGATTGCACGCTTTTGCAAGACAAATATAGACTCAATGTCAGCAGCCTGTCCCCACAACAAGATGCCATACGACATAATGCTATGAAAGTAGCTGAAGTACACCAGTCTTGCAGTGTCCACATCTGTTAGCTGTCGGATCTTCCAGACAGCAAATGCTGCAGAACTCAACCGTCCTGCCAGAGATGTGATATGGGGCCCCCATTGTAGTTTTTCATCTATGGTTATACCCAGAAAAGTAGTCTGTTTTACAAATTCCAATTTCTTGCCGTTTAATAATATGTCACATTCGTTACTTTTTACATTTGGTAAACTGAATCGTATACACTTTGTCTTTTTGTCGTTAAGAACTAAATTATTAACTGTAAACCAGTTATGAACCTTCGTAATAGCATTATTTACTTCGTCATAATTATTTGTCCGTCTATTTATTTTAAAAATCAACGATGTGTCATCAGCAAATAATACCATTCCCGGTTCTCGCTGAAATAAATGAGGTAAGTCATTTATGTAGACCAAAAATAGGAAAGGACCTAATATCGAGCCCTGTGGTACGCCCATAGATATGCTAGCACCCTGAGAATTAACTTTGTTTACCTGTACTTTAAGCTGCCTATCCTGGAGGTATGATTTTAATAAATTGAGTGAAGCCCCTCGAATACCATAGTGTTCCAACTTTAGCAACAGTGTCTCGTGTTCGACGCAATCAAAAGCCTTGGACAGGTCACAAAAAATTCCAATAGCGTCGTGCGACTCCTCCCACGAGGCAAAAACACGCTTAATTAAAGTTACACCGGCGTCAGTTGTGCATCGACCTTTGGTGAACCCATATTGTTGATCATGAAAGATGGAATTCATGTTAAAGTGACGCAGCATCTGAGAAAGCATCAGCTTTTCAAACACCTTACTAAGCACCGGTAAAATAGATACCGGCCTATAATTATTAGGATCGGTATCATCGCCAGATTTAAACAGTGGAACTACTTTGCTATGTTTCATCAAATTTGGAAAAACTCCCTGATCTACACTTCTATTATAAATTAAAGCTAAATGAGGCGCTATAGCTTCTATAAAAGCCCTACACACTGCAACAGACATTCCCCAGAGATCCTCTGTAGACTTAACTTTAATGTCTTTAAACGCCTTTATTACTGATTGGGGGTTTGTGTACTGAAATTGGAAATCAGAACGGCATTCTTTAATATTTCTTTTGAGAAGACTAATTGAAAGTGCCGGAGATGATTCTAAGTCCTTTGTAGTTTCAATGGGGATATTCTTGAAAAAAAATTCAAATTCTTGTGCAACTTCCCGATTTACACTAACATGTCCATTTCCGGTATTTAAATTAATTTCCGTGTTATGCAATTTATGTCTGCCTGTCTCATTGTTAATTATTTTCCATGTAGCCTTTGTTTTACTTTCAGCGTTCTTAATCTTACGGCTAATGTAAAGAGATTTTGCTTGCTTACAGACCATTTTAAATATTTTTGCATATTTGGACACATGCTTGCTAAAGGCTTCGCTTGTATTAAATGGTTTCATACCATATAGTTCAAATAACTTTCCCCTACTTCTACGAATACCGGGGGTAGCCCAGTCACAGAATACAAATTTACATTCAATGATTTTACGTTTTAAGGGGAATAATTTATCAAATTGGGTTTTAATAATGGCCAATAAGTTGGCATAAATCTCACTTGGACCTTCATAATCCTGTGATGGGCTGCATAATATTTGCTTTAAATTATTATGTAATGACTCAACTTTTTTATCCGTGATATGTCTAAACATTATTTCCTTTTTTGGCACCGTTGTGATGTTGTTTAAGTTTATTGTTAACCCACTGTGATCTGATGGTAAGCTATTAACAATATTTTTGTGCAAATAATCACAGTTACAAAATATATTATCTATACATGTAGCCGAGGTGGATGTTACTCGGGTGGGCTCAAGGAATACATTAGACAAATCAAAAGATTTAAAAAGACTTACTAAATTAATACAATTAGAATTGTTTTCCAAGAGATCAATATTAAAATCGCCACATACTATTGTAAATTTACTGTTCGAACACGTTTTCTGCAACACTTGTTCCATAACAGAGTTAAAAACGTTTAAGTTTTGTAAGTTTGGAGGTCTATAGACGCATATCACAACATGCCCATCCAGCTCTACACAGGACAATTCTATTGTATGTTCAATGGAAAGTGAAGTTATATCTTGTCTTTCTTTATACTTAATTGAGTTTTTTAATAAAATTAAACTACCACCATGAATCATTGCTTGACGGCTAAAGAAACTACCAACACAATAGTTTTTAAAACTCATAAATTCTACTTGATACTTCTTCATCCAATGCTCTGTTATACAAATTATGTCAAATTTAAATTTTTCTAAAAATAATTCCAATTCTTGTAATTTGGATGAAATGCCCTGAATATTTTGACTAAGGAGTGTAATATTTCCTTGTTTGTGTTTATTATATAATATGCGGCGAGAAGAAACCTTTTGATAATTTGTAGTATGAGAATTCATTAGGTTATCTTCTGTTGTCTCAAAATTTAATTTAAAAAATTATCTGGAGTGCTACCCACATTTGTCCCTAAATGTTGAGTCTCCGTCGTACTATTATATGTACAATCAATCACTACATTATTAGAATGTCTAAATAATATAGTTTCGTCACTTAATACTAGATTAATAATATTTGCTAGAAGGCTAGCAAGTAATACTTTACATTTTCTAGGAATTAACAAAGACTTCCTAGTCAATTTAAAACTACTAACAAATTTGTTAGTGTCAAAAAACAATAAATTGTCACTATGACATGTCAAACTGAATATCATATCATTTATACTATGTATTCTCTGATTCTCAGACACTGACAGAGTGTCTGAATATGGGAAAGCACATAATACTATCTTTCCTGAATCTAGCTTTAATAAGGTGTTGACACCATTCAGAATGTCCCTCTTTCTAACACCTGTACTATCACCCATTAGTATAACTATAGGCTGATGTCTTGTGATAGGTTCCTGCATTATTTTGTTAATTATCTGACCAAATTTTATGTTGTGGTAACAATAGTTAGTTATACCAGAATTTGGATTTAGGCCATTTGAGATAAGTGACCCAATGCCTATGCCTATTGAGTCAGTAAAAACACAAGTGTTATATTTTATAATTTCTTGTGTTATTTTAGGTGCCAGAGGCATAGGCCCCACATCTGAATCCGGGGCACAGGCACAGCTGCATGAGAAATTATTTGCTAATGACTCATATCTTTCAGCACTGTATGTCACCAAATCTACAAGCTTACCTGCCTCAACCATATTTTTATTTATTTCTAGTTGAGCAGATTCATATTTTTGGAACAACTCATTTATGAACATTTCTCTTTGTAATAGTTGTTCTCGGAGAGCTTGAATATCTACTTCATACAAATTTCTACTTTTATCAAACTCAGTTTTACAATACTTTAGTTCATTAGTTAACAATAATTTTTGCTTTCTTAAGTTTACACTGTCCTTTAAAAGATTCTGCCTCCTAATAGTTTTCTTTAATTTTCTGATTGTTTTATTTAACCTAATATACTTTTTTATTTTATTATGACTATTGAGTACAGGGCGAGTGGGGATAGTGTCATC